TGAGTGAGCAGCTGTGTGGTGCTCAGTTGCCGACTGAGGTTAAACCATGACACCTTGGAACAGGGCTTTAATGTAACTTGGGGAAAGGAGCTCCTCAGCAGTTCTCTGAACTACCTTTCCTTCTCTGTTCAGAATAAGTCTTTTTTTTTTTTTCTCCTCCTTCTCCCCACCTGGCTTTATTCTCGTCACAACACAACTGCTATTTCAGACACGTGTAGCAATTGGGATCTTTCTCCCCCATCCCACTCTCTGAGGGCTTCCCTGAATTTATCCCATCATGTGCCTTAATCAGCACATTCCTCCTAGCTTAAATGTCTTTGAAAGGCTTGGTCACACTTTCAAGACTATCATCACAATATTTTATAAATCCTGCATCACAAGGAGTATTCCTTGTTATCATGATATTCTTTAAAGCACAAAAGCAGGTGGGGGAAGCAAGTCATTCCAAACTCACCAGCACATGGCAGAGTTTGATTTACATCAATTCTGGTCCCAGGTAAAATTCAGTAACAGGATGTCTCCATTAACAATGAAAAGCAGAAAAATGAAACCTTAATTCAAAACATGAGATTTAACTTGCTGCCCTGCCCTTCCTTCCACTCCCCAACTGTAATGATTTGTTTAGATTAACCTATGCACAATATTGTTGTATTCCCCACTTTACCCATGCCAAAGGGACAACAGCACTGCATAAGAGAAAATTATGTTCATTAGTACACAGGAAGAAAACTAAAATTAAACTTCCTGATTAAATTTAACAGAACCCAAAAGACGACTTGAGTACCAAAGGCTCAACATCCTCAAAGCAAGAATCTGTTGTGGTTAAATAAAGCCTTAGGGAAAGGGAAGCTTGCACAGAAACCAAATAATACAGGAAGAAAAAAAAAAATCCCCTTGACACTAGGAGACTTGATAGATGGAAGCAGTTTTATTTCTGGGCACCTGTTGTACCTTGAGTGTTAAAAAAAACAAAACACCTGATTTACTGTTACCTAAGTCTTTGAATGATACAAGGTAAATTGCAGGGCGATGAGCAAGCAATGGACATTCCATACCTCCGGGGGGGCAATCATTAACACTAACACAGCAACCTGCATCACCATTTTAAGTCCCAAAATTATTAGGGAGGTCACGCATGCTCCTCCACTAAGATACATAAGTTTTCCATACAACTGTTAACACAATGTGTGAACAGGGAAGAAATGTCTTCTAATAGTATTAGCCAGAAAGTTTTGTATGCAGCAGCATGGTTGGAAGACTCAACTCTGAGGATAAGAGGGTTTTGTTAATTCTTTAAACCATACCCATCCCTGATAAATGCTATCATCGGTTTACCCTGTGCTGGACAAAAAGGCTACATAAAACATCAGTAGAGATGTCAGATAAGTCATTACAATGATCAGACTCCTTACCTAAGTTCCTTTCTTCTGACCTCTCCCCATAGTGCCCCTTCCTTTTGCCAGAGGCAGGGTCTTGCGCGACTCCATTTGGTCTTAAGCTAGTTCTCTCTTCAATAGGCTACTTCCTGCATTTTTCTCAGTTGTAGCTACATTGGACTACACATATGGCAATCAGACTGAATAACATACAAAATAAATTACAATCAAAATAAATTATATTCATAATCCTTAGTTATAAAAGCATTCAAACGCTTTAAAGTCAGTCTGCTCAGGCCTAGCCTT